GATGAACTTTAGATCGGTTCCTCGTAGCAGCCAAAATACTATCCACAGTGGTAGAGTATTACGATTTAGGAAAAGGTCACCGTTGTGGGTGACGGGGAGGCATGGTATTGCATTGGAATCGACGAAACATCCTCCATGGCTGAAGGCTCTGAACGAGGACATGGAGAAACATCGACTGTAACGTCCTATCGGGAGTTTTAGAACGGGACGCAATTTCTGCTCCGCTTGAGGAAACTGGATTATCACACAAGAAAAGAGAAGAAAGAGAGCCCCCAACAAGGAGACACGAAAGAAAGCATGTGCTGCTCGTTGGCTTCCCCATATTCTGGTCGGATGAATCCTAGCAAAGAAGACATCATTCCAGCTTTAGCAGTCTCGAGTACTTCAAACTTAGGAAATCGGAAATAAAAATAATTTGTATGCTGGTCAACATTTTTTGCTTCCATCCAAGAAAATATATTTTGTTATGTCTAAATACAACGTTTCTTTCATAATAAAACTTTTTATCGAAACTCAGCCCAATTAAGAAAGTTTGCTGGAAACGTGAAAATCCGTACCCCCTTCTGGCGACCTTATTCGTAATAGCAATGCTGGCTTTCAAAATTTTGAGACGTAAATCCTGGTCACGCAACGAACCAGTGTTCCACATTAACGAAGCTAATAATATAATTTATCGATCCTCGAGAAAATTAAAAAAAAATATATTGCCCTTGCCAAGGTCACCACGACGTACTAAAAAAAAGCTATCCAACTCATGTTTCGGACGCTAAATGAGATACTCGAAAAGCATCAGTGAATTATCAATTTTCAGTGAAGCCCGTGTTGACGATCCAGTCTCATCCGAAAGCAGCTGAAAATGAAAAGAAAAAGGAGGGAGGAGAAACAACGATCTCGTTCGATTGAATTTCAGGAGACGGGACTACAAAGGGTTTTGGAAATGAAACTGGTGACAGATTAAAATTAAGGGAATGACGATACTCAAAGAACGCCACCAATTCAGCCGATGCATTGAAACCTCTAGAATTCGTAGAACTCCGATTAACCGAATCGGGATTAGATGCGAGTGATCAAAAACGGCTGTACAGTCAATAATTTCGACTTGGGCCGTTTTAATACCCTCTGTCGGAGTATATCTCTGGACTAAAGCACTTCGAGATTTGCGAGATTGCAGGTTAGACGACTTTATGTCGGGTCATCTTCGAAACATTTGCCTGTACGTTCATCATGTTTTTTTTTTATTTGATTATTCAAGCATAAAAAAAAACTCGCTCGGATGACCGGAGTTCTACTCTACCTCAAAAAAGTTAACTGAGATTGAGAATTGAAATCTCTAAATTTCTATAGGATAAGAACCATCGTCGATTAATCATTTCAAGGTCCGACAGAAGAAAGGACAGGATAAAATAGAGCAGCACAAAACCGATTGAAAGACGGGCGGAAACGGCGGAATGATTGATTACCTTGCCAACCCCGTCGCGCAGTTCGTTATCATCACCGTTCTCAACGGACATGTCTCACTCGCGGGCAGTTCGGTCGTCACCAATAGAAATGAAAGAAAGTTCACGACGAAATCTCAGGGAAGAATGCGAAAAGCACGAAATGAGCACCGCGGAGGACGCACGGGAATTCTCGCGATCCTCGATTCATCACCAGCGGTTCTCCCGCACCCGGGCCTCAAGAAAGCTTGCTGCTCAAATGTGGGCATGCTCCATCGTGTGCCAAGAGTTGCACCCTTCCCGACCGCTACCATGCGTGGTGTGCACCAGGGCCCGGGAACGGCGCGGGGGCACCATCCACCCGGGTGACGCCCTACAGTCCAAGTGACAATTGCGCTGAGGCTCTCCGCTCATGGCTCGGGGGCATTACATCTTCAACCCTTAGCTCAACCATACGGAACAAGCTGGAGAAACTCCGGACGATTGTCGAAATTCTCCCATTCATACATCAATTTTTCATTTACGAAATACGAAGGTGAATCCCGTATTTCCGCAAAAAAATGAAAAAGCCATTGATTTCAATATTCATATACAGATTTAAAAAAAAAAAAAAACGCTACAGGTCAGTTACCTCGTACCACGCCAGAAATCCTACTGGATAAGTTAACCACAAAATACTGTATGCACATTTTAAAATGAAAATACCGTGAATTTTCGGACGTCATTGTGATGACGAGTTTCTAAAGAGGTTCATTTCGAATTCTTTGACCTAGTCTCGCAATTACGATTGCCACTTGAATTTTCAAAAACTGCCGAATTTTTTTCTTCACTGTTGATTTTAGTAGCTACAGTACTAGTTCGGATCACGTTGAACAAAATACTTACATACATAGGAAGAAAAACGTTCGATGTGGCTTAATTGATAAATGGGTGAACTTCTCAATTTTCGAAAATATCATTAACTGACATATCAGAGGCAAAATACGGTTTCCATAATCAAACAAACTCTTTCGTATTTTAGATTTTAGTACTACAGTATAATAATGATTGAGCCTTATATTTGAGGGAATATGGCAATATCTCGTCCACAGTTTCCATTTTTGAGAAGAAACTAAAGATAGCATCCATTAGGTGTTCACATTACATCACTGTGTCTCAAATTTTGGCTCTGCAGACAACCTTGCAGAGTGAATCTCCGATTGGAGTTATGCTCCCAACATTTATTTTAATGAAGTATCAGACACTTCCTCGATTTTAGAGAAATAAATGGTCCCTCAAAATTGGAAAAACGTCACTAATATTACAACACACTGTAATGTACTTTTTGAAAAACAGAAAAGAATATTGAAAAGATACAGCATTTACCTCGGTAAGCTATTTTCATCAAAAGATCCAGCAGAAAATTTCAAAAGTCGATGTTGGGAACGGATTATAGATCAGAGCCAGTCTGCCTGGGCACCGCTTGTACGATTTTAAATTAACACGCGACATAACATCACTAACTTTTGATAGAATTAAAATATTGCATTGAACAAATCACTTTGATATACTGTACCCCTGAGACACTGAATTTATTCAGGACAACATGCAAGCATGGTGACAGCCCGTCATATTCCATCGAGGTCCTGTTCCACTCTTCTAAGCTCATTTCGGGAAATATCTAGCATACTCATCCGGCGACCTCTGATGCAAGTATGTAGGCGTGAAGCGCCTCGTTATCGCATGGGCACACTTGAAGCGCGTTAATAAAAAAAAAAAACGTTCACATCGTAAATCACATTTGAATTCAGCAGCACTAAAACGAGCCCGGAAAAGTTGCACAATCCGCATACGGCGGCAGTTTGTCCGGGCCCATTATCCGTTTTTATGAGACGCGGAAGAAGTTAAATCCTAAGATGTCTTCGCCGCATCGAAATGAATTGCGCAAATGGTGGAACAGGATTGGCCGAATTTAATCCCTGTCCCGAAATTCACGATTCTATTCCACGATCAGGAGCGACACGGGTGCACCGAAAAAAAAAATCCGTCGAACATTCAATTCCACTCCGCGCCAATCGCCAGCAGTGAGGAAAGATCAGCTCCATGACTGCCCATCTCCACACAGATATCGAAGACACTCGCGGAAAAAGGAGCGATAATCCTGCGGAAGAACACAGAGTTCCCATGACAACAGCCCGCTGCCGCTACCAAGCGAATGGTTCGGATACAAAGCTGAACCCGGAGCGAGGATTTGCTCACCCGGCTTTCAGTACCAGGCGACATAACCGCTTTTGTTCTCAGGGCAGTCGGATAATTTCTGCGCCCGCGTGTCAAGTGCCACTTGCTCGTGGCAGCAGGATAAGGAATGGTTGTACTGTCGACAGGGCCAGACCGAATACATCAAATTCCTGATTAAACATCACCGTAAATTATGCGACAACTCAAGGTTTGCCAGAGTTAAGCACAAAATAAATAATTTACAGAAATCGTGATAAACTTCAACCTTTCCTTCTACGTCAATCGCTGATTTTTCTGTAACAGCCCTACTCGTGAGAGTTCGCGTATGTTGCGACCATCAGTCAACACCAGACGCATTTCGAGCCTCGGTGCATCACAATGCGTTTTTCAGCAACCGTGACAATGTTCACTCGCTGGATACTTCTCACAACCTGCGGAATTCCAACCTACAACGCGAAGCGAAGAGATTTTTTCCCCCATACAAAAGACTGCCGACGTATGAAATGGGATTTCGTGTGAACGCGAAAAATTTCGCCGTATTTTTTTGAACGGGGCCTCCCACAACGTCAAGCGTATCGGAAATGCTACAGGCATCCATATTTCCGATCTTCAAAAGGAAAGGTCGCGAAGGAACCGACATTATTCATGAGTTACAATCAATCTTCGGAGCATCCACACATATCAACTGCTCCCATCCTTCGAAAAACACCTTTTCGCACTATAAAAGCCAGTCCTCTCCCACAAGCTGTACACATACATTTCAGGGAAGATCGGTAACGGTAAAATTACTGTATTTTACCTTCTACTTTTTACGAGTTGAATAAAAATGTCTCATAATCCATCAAATGTAGCAGTTTATTCATAGAAGTGTACTGTATCATCTGGAAAAATAATTCCATATCATGATTAATTGCCTGGGCAATTGGAATTCTGCTGTCAGCGAATTTTGTAGCCGATAAGCAACTTGAATAAAATATTAACTCTTCGGTCCCTTGGGACCCGGATAAATCAACAATTAATTCACGGGGGAAATCATCACTCACTCCGACATATACTCGAGTGGTAAAAGAGACTTTCGGTAGAATGGATAATGCATTAACCTGAACGAGATGTTAGGACAACTCGCTATCCCGAAAGAGGGGAAACACCGAATAGAAGCCGTATCAAAACAAGAGACTGGGGTAACTGTGAGATACACAGTGCTCCCTTCGCCCGAGGGAATGGCCGGACTACTCCGACTCACGATTGAACCAAAAGGAAACTTCGCTGATGCAGCTACGGGTTCACAGAGAACTGGTCGCAATAGTGCACCAGTAAACACAAACATCATTGAATCTTCGTTGACGACTAACCTGATGAGTAGCTGTCCGTGGAAGACGCACTATGGGACCTATTCCTGTGTCCGCCTTTCTTCCCGGTTCCCTGGGAACGTGAGTCCTGCAAAGAAACAAAGAACAATACATTCAATAAGAGAGACCTTGACCTCGAAGCAACAATAGCCGGCCAGTAGCACCGAAGTGAGGTAAGGCATGAAATACATGACTGTTCTCAGGTCGCACAATATTCTTGATATCGATAAAATCTCGACAGAGCTTCACAAAGCAGGGAAAACCTAAACATTTCCATCAACTACTGCATCTCCAAAGGAATTATACGCAATCGTTATGTTCTTTGTTTTAAAGGCTGTGGAGGATTTGACTGTTCATCTGACAAAAGGTATGAGATGCCTGCATTGACTCGAAGATCTGAATAAACGCCAATTGAAAGTTCCCGCTTAATATTTTCGAGTAACACGGAAAATACCAACTACTGTATAAGAAACTAAAGAGGGCGAGTAAATGATTACCGGACTCAATTAAAGGAAATTAAGCAACCTGAGCGCTATTGACTTCTGGTTGATTTCAGCCTATTTCGGCCGGTAAAAGAAGTTCGCTCAATGTTTACATTGAGTCACGAACTCAGACTATTGATCTCGGGCACTCGCATCTGCGGAAAAAAACGCTTCGGAATCGCCACCATTTTGACAAATTAAATTCAGTTTCGATGAACTTCCAGTTGATCTACAGGTGAAATACGAGATAAAAATGAAACTGCTCACCGAGGTAATAATAAAAGAAACTTGGTATTGTTACGCATCGAAGGTTTCAAATTTGGCATCCGAGTGGGGTATGAATGTCCGCCACTATATTCATGCATGAATATAGTGGAGACATATATTCATGCATGTGCAATATTTTTCTCGGGATCCAATGAATACTCTTTGGGAAAGTACACATGACTTCCGCGCATAAAGGTTTTTTCTTTCGTAGGGTCCTGAAGAGGTCGAACTGGTTTTTTTTTTTTTTCTTTTGGGAAGAGCGCAACATCAGTCTGAATTGGACCTTCCCTTGATACGGTCATATTCCCGAAGGGATTCTGGCTATCCGAGTGTATTCACAAGACGGTGAAAGAAAGTTTCATTTCTCGACTTCAGGATTGAGATTAAACGCAAATTCAACAGGACGTACATTATTTCGCTTTTGGAGAGTCAGAAATTCAGAGAGACTCTTGAACAATCAAATTTTCAAAATGAAGAATTTTCAAGTGGAGAAATACGGATTACGATTTTCTTGCCGTACATTCTTGTCGTTCAAGCATTCAAGCAGCACCCTAAATATTCAAATACACGATATAAAAATAATGAAAAAACTTACCCTCAAAATAGGCAACACTTCGTTCATTACTAAATGTCAAGATGTGCAAAAATTTTGACGAGAACGTTTCAAGATGCTAGTCGGATAAAAACAAAGAATACCAAGAAAAGTGACAGACAGTTGAAAAGCTGGAGTGTCAAATTAATAAGGATTGCATTTTTTTTCATCGAACAGTACCCATCCGTATACGTGTTATTTACTGGAAAAGCAGAATGACTTCAAAATGCATGCTGAAAGATACGATTGCTTCTCGAGATCTTCAAGCGTAATCAAAAATTGATTTTTCTACTTCCTTGATAATAATTATTTTCTTGTACATCACTTCGTAACTCACGTAGATTTTAATTCCTCGTAGATTACTTGAAGTTCGGCGTGGATTAGTTCAACATGGCTTTTTAGCCTATATTCAGCATAAATTGAACTTACTACTGTATTCGTAATAATGAACCTTGCGGCAGTTTTAATCCAGAGGAAGACTTGGCATTTTTTGCGACGCGCAAATCCTCCAAAGAAATGAATCAGGATTAAGTGCGTTTTTTTTTACACAGGATTGTGAATGTGCATTCAAAAAATGAGTTCAACAAAAGAAAAAGTATGCAGACATGCGTGGTATGAGGCTTTCTTTCATTCCCTGGAGCTAATGGAATATTTTTGGCCTTTGAAGTCAAGGACCAAAACGAAAAAATTTGTCACTATCTCTGGAACATTCGCATTTCCAGAGAATACCGTACAGTATTCATAAAATACGATATACCCCACATTGAGTCAGGTTTCGCGTAACTCTTTACCTCGTACGAGTCACACGACATCAGCGACGGCATTTCAAGATACGACGGATAGACGTCGACCTCTTCCATCGATGGCAACGGCGTCGGGAACGCAAGCAAATGGCTGCCCCCGCGGTGCCCGAGGGAACCACGCGATCTGGACGGCGAAACGCCCCGAGAAAAGGCTGTCAGGCGGCCGTCGGTCATCCTGCTCTCGACAGACGGAGCGGGCGACGATATGGCGTCGCGCTCGCCATCGCGCTTCTTCCGCGGCCCGAGGGCCAGAGACAACGAGTACAAGGGCTGAAATATTCCCCCCGCACGACCCGGGTCATTCTTCTTCAGATTTTCCTCCCATCGCTGGATACAGCAATAATTAACTGCCACATACACTCCTTACGCTTCCCCGTGATACTACTGCTCCATCATTGTCACTTTTGGAATCTACGAACTGACGTGTAGCTGTTACTTCGCCCCCTAACATTATTTCGTTTTCCTCTCTCTCTTTTTTCTTGAGTCTCGTGGCGCGTCTCGCAAGAATTACGGATTTCCTCGGACAATGAAAAAAGTTCATTGTCCGCTAAGTATGCAACAATATGAGCATCGGTAGTATGAATAGATTTTACACCGTGATTTGCAGCTGAAATAGCGAGTGTGTAGAGTTGGACAGAAGTTCACCGCCACTCCTCAATTCGAAAGGATTTGCTAAGAAATGGAAGGTTAAGGGAGCGCAACAGATTTGCCTTCAAAACGTTCTTTGGTCCACATTTTACTTTTTTATCAATGACGCTTCATATACAATCAGTGAGTTCTAGTACAACAATGAGATCGTATAACAGTTATACGATCTCATGACTCCGAATACTTGTGCATTAAAGGCGAAGAAAATGCAGTACTCATTTTACGAATACGGATCTGCTCATACAACTGCATACACAAAATACTCCATTACGAAACCCGCGTAAAAACTGTTGATTCTGACAGTCGCCTCGTTCATATTTAATATTTGAATATTAACGTTAATTTTTTAAACGATGGAATTCGAAGAAATACCATGGTAATTTGGGCATATTTATACAAAGTTACAACAAACCATTTACAAGTCTTGAGCAATCATACCTGAAATGTCCAGAGCAATTAAGAACGCCAATGGGAAAATGTGGCATCATCGAAAATATGATTTTTTGTCGCACTTAAATTTAAGCAAACATTTTCATGCGTTCATGCTGCAGGGGTTGCTCCCGAAAAAAAATGGGGAGCCTCGTGAGCTAGATAAGTGTTCAGGACTTTGAGGGCTGGGAGCATGAAAACGGGAGACTCGGCTAAAACATGAAAAACTACCGCATTTAGATGAGGTTCAGAAATAAATTAAGCCCAAAAATAATCTCGATAACCTCACCAGAATGAACACATAAAGGCTACTAAAATACGAAGGTGATCAAATTGCAATTTTTTTCAGCCTAAGTTGTCGATCGCGTGTCAATCAAAAGCGGTGGTAACATTACCATCAGTCGAAACCCGGGTGAAGGGAAGAGGGCACCTCAGAACAAAACCACGTCCGCACTAGCAGGCAACCAATCGAAGAGAGGAAAAAAAAAACTTCTCCCAGAAGCTAAGACGAGAGCGCGAATACTACTGACCCAGGAACGGACTGACAAACGCGTCAAGTTCCAGTGCGTGAAGGCTGACCAGAACGCGAAGCGGCGGAGAAAACCAGGAAAAGAGCGTAAAAAAAGCCCCTTCGTTCCAGCAGGCTGCTCATGCCGAAGGGAGTGGTGAGTAAAAACTGGGTTCGAAATGAAGAACAACACTGATTTCGATTCAGCGGACCGACCGATGTCGCATCTACACCGGAAGCACGTGCTGGAAGAGGCGAACGCGCGTCCTCAAACCGACTTCGCTTCCTCAAATCTCGTACGAGTTATTATACCAGCTACAAATGCGCGAGGTTACGCAGTAAGATCTCAAAAGATTGTCACTTGCATTATCCGCGCAGTGAAGTAGCTCTTAGTAAGCGGGATGGCGCATGCAATTTGAAACTCGGGTTATTGAAGGCACACACAGTATGCGCAATTCCCGCATTATTCAACTATCAATTGATAGCACACATGGAAATATTGATGCGTAAAATGTTCGTCCGTCCAGTGTAAAATGAGAGTTTAATGTGCGTTTCAGGTCAAGCACGAGCACGAGTGGAAATGCATTGGCTTTATCATATGAACGAAGAATGGACATCGGCAGAAATCACATGGACGCTAAATTACAAATGCCAGAATAAGAATATTACGCCACCGATAATAATATTATCTTCAAGAGAGAAAAAACCATCCATGCTCATTTATTTCAAGAACCTCCTAAATTAAAATTTAAAAAAGGATATAATGTGCAAAGCAAATTACGCGACACTTGGAAGGAATCGCGCGGGATCCACTTCCAACATCTCCATCTAAAGTGGACTGCAATTCCGCAAGATTGCCGTTCATTTCCTCGAAAGATCTCGCAAACCACCCGTAATAATCGAACACATGGTGCATCATGTACTAATTCTGAGCTCATTGCGCACCAACAGAATATTTACGAGATATCCATCGCTGAAATCCTCGGAATCCTGGTCAATACATGATTTATTCTCTCACGTCCTCACAGTGATGCTGAATAAAAAGCCTGCGTAGGCCTGACATGCATGATATTATAAATGGAACCCATTGAACATACCAAAAATGACGAGGAACTTCCTTGCTTAGCGAAAAAATTTAATTCAGTAAATAATCGGCTAGCTTCCATGACACTTTTCTTTTCCTTATTTGCCAAATCTCATAATTTTTATTCTAATTTCACCGAAGTTCGACCGAATGTAAAATTATCGAATAGAAAATGCGAAAACTATCATTTCGACTTCCTCCTCGTGATCAGCAAGCGAGAAACCGGGTGAGGAGCAGAGGTTGCAAAAAAAAGAATCGATCTTGCACGAGTTTTGCATTGCGAAAATTAATTCTTGCTCAACCCGAATCTGCTGAAGTCATCTTTGCACTTTACGAACACGACTTTTTACAAAAATCACCCTCATTAAAACAAAGCCGATATCGTGAAATCGACGATAACCTATATTTGATCAAGACCGTGTCAATTTATCAAATGGAAACCACGAAACAAGCAGAACTTATCGGACACGACTCGAAAATTGCATTAGGCACGAAGACAAGAGAAGAAAAAAAAGAAACTTTAGCATCGATTTTGAAGGAAAACGACAGAATGTGTGCGGACTCGGAAATCTCTTGAGGCCACGTGAAGTACCAAGGGAGAACGTTGAATGCAATGCCGACAAAAGAGGATTCATTCGAACGATTTAGCGAGAACAGACCGGACATCGAACGAACATTGAGCGAACAATTACTGAGTGACCAGGGAAAATCAATGCACCGCGGATGAAAATCCCCCAGTATTGCTGGGGCGGATAACAGCGGCTCTCAGATATGCCGCGTGCTGCGAATAATGCATGCGCTACAGGAACAGCCGAATCATAACACAGAGATACCAGAATCCTGCGGACGTTCACCAACTACGACCTTTCCGGGAGAACCATAAGGGGAAACCAGGTCAGGCACCCCACTTCCATAGACGGCTCAGAAGTACCCTCAGAACTCCCATATCTAAAATCGTAAAATTGCCTATAATTTTTATAAAGATGAGAGAATACGGTGGCTGCATCGAAGTTAGGTTCCCCTTTCCATGTTCGGTACTTTTTCTAAACAAATCGTGGTATTATGTGCAGCAAATGTGCGACGACCCTTAATTTCTCAATAGTCGGGGTTCCTCTTCGCGGCTCAGAAAGCAATAACTTACTGTAAATGTCATGCGCCGATATCAACATGCACACGAATTACAATAAAAAGAAAATTTTGACTAGAGCTAGAAAGAGGGCTAAAATATACATCATTGCTTATTAGAGCAGATTTTACAACAATCAGCAAAAACTACGCAGAAATCAAGCCGAAAATCGATGCGAATTAAATGCGAGCACTTCGAATAGTTGCCACGATGGCCAGAAACAAGCGGCACGAAAAGAAAACTACCCAAAAACGAAGGATTATTCAAAGGAAAAGGCATTCAAGAGGCAAGATCAGAATAGTATAAAAATACAGCAGCCTTTCTCTGCCCTGACCATTTTGGGTGAATGCGGAGGGTTGACCTCTAAAATGTTGCTTTCAAAGATCTCGAAATACTTGCGAAATCCGAGAGCATTTCACGGTCCTTTGTTTCATACGGATTCGCTTATTCAGATGACCTCAGTTATAGCTGAAGTACTCAAACTGTACTCAGAATACTGTGGACAGAACAGCTGAACGGATTTATCCGCTCTGCAAGAACTAGAAGGTCACGTATATGGCCAATAATTTGTGCAACGCCCAGTTAAAATTATACGGGAATGAAATTACGGGCATTCGAAAGATTCAGCATTTTACTATGCAATCAAAATTTCATCAGATCATGCATTTCGTGACAAAATATCAGAATTCTCGTCCTCCGAGAGCAAATAAACTGGTATATTTTTATTATTTTTTACATCCAGTTCCCGCGAATTTCGCTCCGTAAATTTCGGCGACGTTCGAAGTGTACTTCCAAATAAGACGGGTTAAAGTAGTGTGCAGAAGAGTAAGTGAGGTGATCTGGGAGGATATAAGGTACGTTTGGTACGGCTTTCTAATGCTTCATGCATCTATAAAAAAAATGGTATACTCCGCCGAAAGGTGATTAGTCCATGGCTCAGTTCGATGAGTGTGTACATACCCGGAATACGGAAGGGGAATACTGTACAAGACAGCAGCACAGCAAGGAATACGAAGAGGTCTTCAGAAAAAATAAAAAAACAGTAGCGAAAAAAGCCACTCACTCGCCTTAAAGAGGCCAATCATGGGACAGAAATACAGCAGGGGAAGTTCATTTAAAAATAGCTGTCACGCTGTGAGGTACTGCCATAGGCGCATACAACGTTTCCTCTTGCCTCATATACCTTTGACGCTACTCTCGGTTCAGTGCCTCCTGCAGGATCAAGCTTCTCAATTTAAACGTGAAGGTAAAAAGTGCCACGTAAATGTCAACTTGTTTTTCGCTGAAATACAGAATACGACGGCTTTAAACGGTGATTTGCGTGTAGGTTAGTCGTAGTAGTACAGCACTCCTACGGGTATAGGCAATTTTTGTCTCGTTCCTTGAATCTTGAAAAAAACTCCGGTCCAGTCTGTAGTCGAGATAATCGACTGTTCGCCGTACCGCAGTCTCACCTATACGGCGAACCATTTACTCGAGATATCGTAAAAACAGCCAGAAGTATGCTTTACAATTACATAGTCTACACCGGCTTCACCCCTCTCATAAAATGTCAAGAATGCATTCATTTGTGGGACTAATGATCCACTGTCTCGGCCCTTATAGGATAAGAATTTGTTCATCTAAAATATTTTCGACTTCCATTCATGACGTTTT